CTAGTTGGTGACTTATTTCAATATAAAACTCCAAAATGGAAGCTGCACATTCTCAAGCATATAAAAAGAATACTGTTTATATGCCAGTATTTCAATCATGATATTTTTCTGAGCAACTTGAGTTTGAAAAATTACTCTAAACAAGGTCATTTGAATTTTTATCTGTTTTGTGCCTATTTGGTCTTCCTAAACTCAAAGTCAAATCAGCCAGGAGTGCCAGAACTTTGAGACTCTACTTGGATTTTTCTCAAACCACCCACAATAATCACTAGCACTTATCTCCAGTTGTAAAGACTGACAGAAACTGATCAGCAGAGAGGGGATTAAATGGCCATGATGAAAGAGTAGATGATAGAAGATCCTAATAATGAAGAAAGCACAGGAACTGTCAAGGAAGGAAAGGGAATCTGTTTAAATATCATGTGAAAAAGTCAGACATGGAGGCAGAAATGGTAGCATGTAGGACCCCAGAAACTCATAATGAATTTGCCTTTGGGTAATTTTCATAGATAAATGGCTGAGGGGCTCAGTGACAGAGCATATGTGCTACATTCTAGCCTAGCACCACAAACAGAACAAAAACACCACAAAAACAACAATAAAATAAGTAATGGAAGCCAGGTGTGGTGGTGCACGCCTATGATCCTAGCATTCAGGAGGCTGAGGCAGGAGGATTACCATAAGTTTAAGGCCAGCCTGAACTACATAGTGAGGCCTTGTCTTGAAAAAGGGGAGGGAGTGTAAAATGGAACTAAGAAAGTGGAAGTGGATTATAGATGTGATTAAGAGTGTTAATCAGTGATGGGAATATACATTCTTCCCTGAAAACTTGGTATGCAAAACCTAATCAAGTCAGGGCTCTAAAGTGTTCTGTATAGAGGCTCCCTGTTATGGCTTGTGTCTAGATGTACCCCATACCCCCATGCAGCCATAGGTGGGGCTTTTTGATGGCTGGGTGTAGGGTGTGTAATGCTGGGATCAAGGATCCCATGCCAGGATTCAGGGGGTGAATTGTATCTGTCTTAAAGGTGGGTAGCCTGGATAAGTTATAGAGGACAGAAAGAGGTTCATCAATTGATGTTTGTTACCTGTCTTCTGGTGCATCTTGCCTGCTTTATGATACCCTCCACCATGCCACCCTACTTTGGTGACAGCTAATTAGGGGCTGAAGCCTCTGCAAACTCTGAGCCAAAATAAACTTTTCCCGGTTTGACTTTGGGTGTTGGGTATTTTGTCCCAGCAATGAGAAAAGGTAACTAAGACCCTTGTCAAAAGCAAACTTTGTTCTGTGTGCAGGGACCTGGAGTTGGTTACACTTCCATCACCTTGCTTCAGCTTCAGTCCAGAGAGCCCTTGAGCTGATTAAAGGGATTTTCTGCCAAGGAACTGATGACAACCACTGCAGAATCTGCAGGTGAGTACAGGGCTCTGAAGAGACGAACTCATACTTCTTTCCTTAATTTTTTCTAAATTTTGTTGGCAGAAGGCTTAAGGCTTTCCAAAATAGATGTAATAATCGACTTTACTAAAAATCAGGCAATTGTTTTCAGTTTACTTTTTTTTAAATTTAAAAATAGCTTTATTATCAAACACACACATACAGAAATTAAAACCATTCAAAGAAGAACAATGGAAGGGAAAAAAACTACAATAATAGTCAAACACAGTAGAACTCAACCAAAACAAAACTGAAAAGCACTTAAACATTTTTCCATATAACTTAAAAAAAAAATCTCAAGTACCAACAAGACACCAGAGGATGTGATTTGTTTGAGAAACATCCCCAAAACCAACATTGAACAAATAGTGGTCTGGAAAAAAAACTCCAGTTAGCTAGCAGGCTCCACATAAGCCAAACTTCTCCCTAATTTAAATTTCGATACAGTCATATGACACGCGATGGAAACACAATCCGAGAAATATATTATTAGGCCATTTCATCCATGTGCATCCTTACTTACACTTTCAGTTTCTCACACTAGAGAAGCTATTCGGTGTTTACACATATGTGTCCTATTTATTTCACTTCAGAGGATGGCCTCATTGTGCATCCATTTAGTTTCAGTTTACTCTTGAGCTATGGAATTTTAATCTCTTCCATCATTTTGAGATTTAGAAATTGATGTGTTATTTTGATTTTATGTTATTATTGTATCCAAATGTTAACTTAAGGAGGGGTAGTCCTAGGTATCCTAGTTTTACTTTTGGCATCATAGGACTCAAACTTTTGTAGAAAGCAACGGAAAACATCATAGAATGTGCAAAACACTATGTCTTTAGGAACCTTAAGTTGAAGTCTTTGTGTTTAAAATACCAATAGAAAATCTGGTGATGGTTGTGGAAATACATTAGTGACTGCACTGATGTACCAGAAATGAGAGGGTTTAATGCATTTATTCTGGTCAAGAAGTGGAAATTTCAGTCTTATTTTATTTATTTATTTATTCATTTATTTTGGTACCAGGGATCGAACTCCAGACCTTGCGCTTGCAAGGCAGATGTGGTGCCACTGAGCTAAATCCCCGACCCCTAGAGTTAGTTATTTTAAAGGCACACTGTATCACATGGTACAGTCATTGTTTTGTTTTTTGTGGGTTTTTTTTTGTACCGGGGATGGAACTTGGGACCTTGCACTTGCGAGGCAGGCGGCGCATGAAACCAATGACCCAAATCCTTGGCCCCCAGTTGTTTTTCTAAACTTGAGATGTATGTATTTCTAAATGGGGTGGCTTTAGATATTTAGTGTGATATAATCATGAGATATACTGTTCTTCCATACCCATTTTGTAATGTCAATTTTACAAATTACTTTTCTAGTTAGAATATATCCTAGAGTATTTTTATTGTTCATATTAATCATTAACAAAATTGGTGGAGGTTTAAAACAACTTTCTTACCTAAAACCATTTGAAAATGAGGTTTGACTATAAACACAAGAATGGAATCATTTTTTATTCATTTTTCTGTTTTTTTATTAAATATTACTTTTATCTCAGTTACTCTCACTGTTCTATTTTTAAGTTTGTATTTTCATTTTCTAAGGAAATTGAGAGTATTTTCTGATTTTGTAATTAACTCAGTAAATTTTAGCTTACATTTTAATCTTCACACTTGGTTTATTTTACAACTTTAAATCTTTCACAAGTTTTAACACTTTTGTGTAATATCTCCATTTTTCCTTTCTTTATTTGCCCCCGCTCAAGACTGAGTATTGAACTTTAGACCTCAGTCATGCTAGGAAAGAGCTGATATAGGCCTGAGCTACATCCTCTGCCCCATTTTGTTTAGCATTTTGAGACAGGATTATGATAAATTTCCCATGGTGCCCTTGAATTTCCAATCCTTCTGTCTAAGCCTCCTGGGTGTGCCACCATACCTGGATCAATTTGTATTCACTATGGAAGAATTTTGCAAAACTTTTCCCAAATCATGAATTTTAATACCTGGGCTGTTATTTATTCACTCTTCTATCTCAAATATGATGAATTATGTTTTTAATTTTCAGAGTATTTTTATCTATTTTTTCTGATATATTATGTGACATTATAAAATTAAGATCTAGAAGCCAGGTATGGTGGAACACACCTGTAATCCCAGCACTCAAGAAGCTGAGGCAGGGGGATTGTCATTCCAAGGCCAGCCTGGGCTAAATAGTGAGTCCAGTGCCTGCCTGAACTACATAGTGAGGCCCTGTCTAAAAAATAAATGAATAAAAAAGATCTTGGCTGAAAACAGCAGAGAGTTTGACCCACTGCACTACAAAAACAACAACAACAAAAACCAAAACTTCATTATTCTAGCTAATTTTTTTAATGTTCAAAGGCCATAGCCTGTTATACAATACTGAGAATTAAATGGTTCACAAAAATATTCTCAGATATTTAAATACTCATTCTCAGGATTTTACCTTGCCTTTATCTCTTTAAGTATGATGTTGTCTTTCCCTTCTAATTATATTTTGATTTCTAGAAGTCCCATGTTAAACTTCAATTCGTCATCTATTCAGGTGACATCACGTTTTATATTTAATGTTTTATATATTTGTACTTAGTTTGGATAGGTGAAGCTTAATCATAAATTACATCATCCTATGAGATCATCCATGAGAGATATGAGAATGTGATGAGTGATCTGATGAGCCATGCACCAGCCATGTTACACTAGGACAGACCAGATTGGTTGGTGAAAAGCAGCCATCTGGCCTGCCATTACTCAAGTTCTTTTAAGTGCTACACATTTAGGAGAGAATTTATGGAAGAGGTAAAACTATCATTGAGGTTTAAGTATGGAAAAAAGGTAGCCAAATAAAATTGTGAATGTTATAATTCTCGTGAAATTCTCACCACTTGCAAAAGAGAGTGTATGGTACATTAAATAGAATTTATTCACACACACACAAGGACCTGAAGACTCTAAATCAGATATTTCCTACACTCCACCAATAAAAGACCTCAGGTGGAGTCATGTCAGGGGAGTTAATAAGCTTGTCTTTTTGTATCTCCAGCTCCTAGTCTGCACATTTACTAGTGGGTATCTGGATATCTGGGCTGTGTTTACAAAGTGGCCAGAGTTAGAATAATACCTAGTGAAAATCCTTCTCCTTTTTAGTATTCTGTTTATTTGTTTTGGCTTCTGTCCTCAGGGGCTTTGTATCATATTAAGTTCATTCAGTTCTATTTAAGAGAGCTCTACTGAGGTTTCCAGGAGCAGGGCTCTGGAGATTTTGAATATTGCAAGTGCAAAATATAAAATGCAATCATAAATTTCACATCAGAAGTATGACAATTTTCCAATACGTTGTTAAGAGTGAATTAATTGTACAAGGGACACATCTCAAAGGATATGTGATTCTTTTTTTCATTAATCTCAATCATTCTTTCTCCTCAGAAACACAGATTTGTACATAGAGGAGGACTTTTAGAAATATATTGTCTTTGCTGACTGAAGAAGCTGAACTCCTGTTGAAGTATTTGCACAACTCAGACCTTAAAAGTGTCCAAATGGAATCACTTCATAGGCAAGGCCACTGGTCCAAGAAAAACATCCAGAGCTTACTGGAACGTTTGCAAAATAATCTTCTGTCCAATGGCAACCCAAGTTTCCAAACAACCCAGTCACATCTGGACTGGGAGAAAATAGCTTTTAAAGATTTTTCTGCAGAAATGTGCAAACTCAAATGGACAGAGATTTCTTCCAAATTAAAGAAGTCCCAGCCACTGTCAGAATTAGTGCTGGAAGCCAAAGATCTTGTTAAAAATCACCATAGAAACAATGAGTACAAGAAATATCCAGACTTCCCCAAAAGGCCATTGACTGCATATATCCGATTTTATAAGGAGCAGAGAGCTCTCTACTCCCAAAAGCACCCTAATCTGAGCAATCAGGAGTTAACCAAAATCCTAGCTGAGGAATATAAGCAGCTCCCACAGCAGACAAAACAGAAATATATGGAGGAATTCCAGAAGGAGAAGCAGGGGTTTAAAGAAAAACTGGCTCAATTCAGGAAAAACCACCCTGATCTAGTCCAGAACTCCAAAAAATCTGTTGGTTCCAAGAGACGCCGAAACAAAGCCCCAAAGAGTGTACAAGGAAATGTGAAAACTGAGAGGTCTCCTTCAAAAACTGATGCATTTTGCAAGAATTTTAAATTTCATAAAGAGCCCAAGAAACCCCCCATGAGTGGATATAACAAATTTCATCAAGATTCATGGTCAAGTAAGGAGCTAAAACATTTGCCCCTGAGGGAGCGAATGGTAGAAATTAGCAGACGCTGGCACCGTGTGCCCCAGAACTTGAAAGAACATTATGCAAAGCAGGCTGAGGAGCTACAGAAACAGTACAGGGTGGATCTGGATCTCTGGCTCAAGACTTTGTCACCTGAGGAATATGCTGCATACAAAAAGAAAAGCCAAGGTAAAGGGAAGAACATGACCATGGGAGGAGGCCCAAGCCCCAAGTTCAGAAAAGCAGACATGCCATCCTCACCAGCCAAGCGCCTGCCTGAAGGACTTAGAAAGGAAAAGGGGCTGGAGGCTCTAGAGACAGATTCCTTGAAGACAATTCAGAACAACTATCATCACGGACAGGGATCAAAAAGGAAAATGAAGGAAGATGGGGAAGAGGATGAAGCAAGAAATTTCTCAGATTCCAGCAGTGGAGATGAACATGAAGATGGTAGTTTATCTTCCTCAGCAAAATCCTCAGACATCTGAGCTTTGTTCACATCTTAAATTGTTATTGAGTGTCCACCAAATTCCAGGCATCCATGTCAAAGGCTGGAAAGTTCTTCCAGCACCTTTTTTTCTTCCTACTTTTTACCCTTCCTCTTTCTACCTCTTCCCTCTCAGTACAAAGGAGTATAGGTGGGAAGATGGGAATTCAAAGAAGTACTTTCTATATAGATAATATAAACCTCAGAAGCAGTAGTCCTTCTGCAAAAATAAGTATATATTAGCTGATGTTGCCCCACATTATCCCCCAACACCATGTGCAAAGTATTCCACTTAATTAAATCTGTGAATATAAACATTGAGATGATCGGGCTGTGGGAAGTGGGGCACAGTAGCCAAGAGTGAGTGGTTCTGAAGTTTTGCTCTCATGAGCTTGTGCCTTTTGCCCTTCCCTATGGAGTTTTCCCTCAGGACTCTTGCACTGATTCTGGGGTGAGGAGTCATTGATGGGACATGGGGTAGGTGGTTTAGGAAAATCTACAAACTCCTGGTGTCTCTCCCTATTCCTTGGAGTCAGAAGTTGGCCATTCCCTGCCCTCAGAGTTGACAAACTTATGCAGTTGGCAGTATTTCTGTAGGTACTAACTACTGTATTTAACTCTCAGCTCTCCATGAGACTTCTGTCACTCACTTCAAAAATTAGAAAATAAAAATTGTAAAACTACTTATGTATTTTATTTGAATAAATTCTTGCACAGAATCAATATTTTATGACCTTGTAGACTGCTTTCCAAGTGGTATCTGAGATTGTTATGACAGAAGCTCCACATGCTTTCTGTTATCCCAGGTCAGTGAATCTCATCTTTATTATTAAATATTAGTAAACACATAGAAAGGTATAGACATAGATAAGTAAGATAAAGTAACACTGTCTGATCTGACCTCAATTCATGCATCATTATCACAAGGCTTTAATTATTTTGGTTTACTAGTATTTTTGAAAATACATACAAGGCCAGAGTTTTCTCATAATTTCCTACTAATTATACCTAGCTAGTTTTCTCTAGCTTTTTGCTCTCATGAGTTCTAGAATAATTAATTGCATCACTTGCCTATGAAAACATGCATTTTGAGTGTGTAATTTATTCTAAATGTCTTTTAAAATTTAATTTTTACTGATATGTAAAAACAATCATTGAACATTAATGCGGTAACACGTTATGTTTCAGCACATGTATGCATTGCACAATGTTTAAATCAGGTTTAAACGAGGTCCTTGAACATTTATTATTTTATTTTGGTGCAAACTTTCAAAATTCTTTTTCCTCACTTTTGAAATTGGATTCTTTGCTGGGGATTTAACTCAGTGATTCCGGTGCCTGCTGCCCAAGCACAAGGTCCCGAGTTCACTCCCCGGTACCAGAAAAAAAAAAGAGTGAAATTGGATTCTTCTTGTTCCTAAATATCTTAGTGAGGTGTTTATGGATGCTTTTGTGTGTAAACAATTTTACAAAATAATGGCAATATGTGCAATTTTACTTTTAATGTCCTTTACTTTGAAATGTATTGTGCTATCCTGAACAATGACAAGTTTTAAATGTGGTATAGTCTTCTCTTGCTTCTAACTTTCAGGCTAAGGTTGGTAGGATTTTTTTTTATTTTGAAACTCAACTTTTTGTTTTACTTCCTTAAAGCCAGGACAGACCTCTGCTCAGCTCTGCACAAGATCTGCATTGTTTAGAAGAGGTTTATGGACCCTAAGTGTATCTAATCCATCTCATTTCCCTGCAAGCCTGAGGATACTAAGGCAAGAGTAACCTAAGCAGGCCAGGTGTGGTGCCAGCACTCTGGGAGGCCGAGACAGAGGATCCCAAGTTCCAACCCAGCCTGGGCAACTTCATGACTTAGCAAGATGCTGCCTTAGAATAAAAAATTTTAAAAGCCTGGGGATGTAGTTCAGCGCAAAGACCTTGGGTTTCATCCCTGGTACCAAAAAAAGCAAGCCCTGCAGACCACACATGATGAGATCCCTTCCCCCAAGCAAGCAGGGAACCGAAGAAGGGCAGACAGGTCACGGGACCAAGTCTCCCTCCAGCCTTAAGGATTCTTCCGGGCCTGGGATCACCATCTCTCTCTCTTTATCCTCCTCTTTCCCTCTCTCCCCATTCATTTACTTCCAATCCCTCCAGCAGAACGCAGGTGAAGGAGGTGGATGCCAGGTTTCCTGTGGCGGTTTCTGCTGCTCTTGCTCCTGCGGGATGCGGCCCGCATGATTGCTTCCAGAGGCAAAGGACCTCGATGACACTCACTGAGCAGAGGACTGGGGGCGGCGGGTGCCACGCAGGTGTGGGCTGCGTGACAAGAACGCTCTCAGTGAGCTGCAGGGAGAGTCGCCGCTGTGCGGCACCGCAGCGTCCTGAAGGGTCCCCGGATGGGCCGTGGCCTTCCACCCCGGACATAGGCCCAGCTGTTCTTGCTCTCAGACCCCTACCATGACCTGGACCTGGAGGGCCCGTCTCCTCATTTCCTTGCATTTTCTCTGTTTTTAATCAAGCGCACTCAGCTGGGTTCTCTGCCAGGGGCCTGCTAGCGTGTTCCCAGGCTGGGGTCCTCTTGGGCTCCTGATGCCCTAGACAAAGAACTGAGCAGGACCCCGAGGGTGGCCGCAGGAACAGGGATCTGTCTGCAGAGCACGGAGTGTTGCTCCAGGGCGGGCGGCGGGAGAAGAGCTCATGGCTGGCCTCTGCCCTTCTGTGGGTGGCTGTGCTTTTGACCCTGTTGGCCCGGGAGGAACGTCAGGGTGCCCAGAGCCCGGGATCGAATCTGCACAATGCTACGGTGACTAGGGCTGGGGTCACTAAGGGCTGCAGAAGAGCATCAGACACTGGCCTGGGGACTTACTGTGCAGAAGCCACGTTACCTAGTTCTTTTCCCGGAGTGTGTAGGCTCTCCCCATATGACCTGCTGTGACCACTGGGACACGAGAAGATGGGATGCCAGAGGCATTTATCAGGAGGTCCTAATGCTTCTGATGGGAACAAAATGTCCCATAAGGTTGGTAGGATTTTTAACAATGAAAATATGTTGCACATGAACTTGAGATAAATTGTAGAGTACAGTATTTAGAAAATGTCTGTTTCCTTATATTCTGGTCAGTTTTATTCCATATTGTTTCTTTATTTGTTAAATATCTGTCATATATTCACATAATTTTTCCCTACATTTCTACCTTTTTTTTATTTATTTATTTATTTTTGGTACCAGGGATCAAACTCAGGACCTTGCACTTTCAAGGCAGGCAGCAGAACCACTGAGCTAAATCCCTGGCCCTGACTCTTCCCTACAGTATTAGTCAGGGATCTCCTGAGGAATAGAACTCACACAGAGAATTTAGATGAAGAGAGTGATTCATTGTTCCTTTAGAAATTGAAATACTTCACTCCAAACTCTCCTTGACTTGATGGTTTGTGTTAAGTCTGCTGTGATTCTGATGGGCTTTCCTGTAAGGTGATTTGTTTCTTTTCTTTAACAGCTTTGAATATTCTGTTCTTGTGCTGAATTTCTGGAATCTTGACTATTACATGTCTTGGTGAAGATTTTATCATGGCTAATTGGAGTTCTATATGCTTCACTTATCTGTATGTCACATTCTTTTTCCTTGTTTGGAAAGTTTTCTGCCTCTACTTCTTTGAACAAGTTTTTTGTCATTTGCAGTATCTCCTGCTTTTTTACTGACTCCAATCAATCGTATGTTATTCTTCTTTGCATCATCTAGAAGTTGCTGGATTAATTTCTTATGGTCCCTTGCTATTTTTAAGAATTTTTTCTTTTCATGATCACTAACCACAATTCTGTATTCAATATCTGATATTCTGTCCTCACATTGGCTTGTTCTATGGTGTATACTTTCAATGAAATTTTTAATCTTCTGAATATCTGAATCTATTTTATGGATTCCATTTCTTTCCTATGCTGGGCATTCATGGTTTCCATCATTTTCTTGAGCTGTTCTATTTTTTTTTTTAAATCTATATCTGCTCTATAGTCAATAAGCAAGAGATTTTAAAGAACTAACCCTGATTGTGGGGGCTGAAACCTTCCAAGATCTGCTGTTTGCAAGCTGGAGACCCTGAAAAGCCAGGGATAAAATTCATTTCTAATCCAAAGATCCAAAGGAGTTTATGGTGCAAATCCTAGTCCAAGGTCAAGAGAAATAGAATGAGATATCATGAGGAAAGCAATTAGGCAGAAAAAGAGGATCAACTTTGCACTCCTCTGCCTTTTTTCTCTGTATCCAACCCTCCTCAGTGAGTTCTTGATGCTCATGCATTTGGGGAAAAGAAATCTACCATGCTGACTTTACCAATTCAAGCTGACCCATAAAATTGACTATCACACTTAGTGATATTAATCAGGAAAACAGTAGATTATGTGATATTAGTCCCTTGTTATTTTCTATAAATGAACTCACTTGTTTAAGTTGTATTGAAGTATGAGAAGTGGAAAAAATGGAAACAAAGTCTTTGTAAGTAGGGAGGTGTGGAGGGGTTGAAGGGAGGGTAGGGGAATGGGGAAAAAGTAAGAACCAAGATGTATCATGTAAAGGTACAAGTTCCCAATGATGAATGTAAATGTGTACCTAAAATGTACCAATAAAAATTTAAGAATAAAAATAAAACAAGACTAGAGATTATGCAATTCATTCAATCATTCTTATGCTAAGAACATCATATTAAGGGCCAGAGATTTAGCTCAGTGGTTCTGGTGCCTGCCTTGCAAGTGCAAGGTCCAGAGTTCAGTCCCTGATACCAAAAAAAAAAAAAAGAATATCATATTAAGCAATGCTTCAAAATATAGTAAATTCACTGCCTGCAATTTTTCACATTTCATGATCTATATTAGATTAATATAGTATAAGAAACTTTACACGAAATGTTCAACTTTACTTCAAAGACTTGTCTTAGACTCTTCTCTAGAACATTGGATGAAAATGTAGGTAGAGGAAAAGAACATAGGAGGAAAAAATCCCTCACAAAAATGTTTCAAGACAGGCACTAGACTGGATGGGCAGGTGCTCTGAGTCATCTTGTAGAAAGTAAAGCAAAGCTGTGGTAAATACACAAGGGTCTCTTAGGTGCTAAAACGTGCAGGGGATAGAGAGAGACCAGAGGAAGGACAGGTGTTCTTATATCCCAGGCCTGTTTGATGTGTTACCTAGGGAACCAATAAGTCAAAAGAAGTTAAGAGAACACAGGGTTGTGTGGCTCACATATTCAACTCATTCACTGATTGATGTTCATGTCTCAGGTTTACCTTTTTAATTTCTTTAAACACCATAAACAATGGTTTCCTGCCTTGGCCTTCTCAGTCGATGCTGCTTTCTCTTTCACATGTTTTCTTAATACATGTTCCCAGCATAAACTGTTCATGTGCCATGTATTAATTTATAATTATTATACAGAGTCCACTCAAAAAATATACACACTTCAGGAAAAGAAAAACTTGTATAAATATTTTAATCTTAAACTTTTGAGACACCATAAGATTAATACAAGTTTCCTTTGGCCTCTACAATTACAAAAGGTGCT